ATCTTCTCTTGCACGAGGATGAATTTTGGATTGGATGTGAATGTCAGGCACGCACGCTCACATTTGTAAATCACATAGCTAGATTGGTTGTGAGTCCTAGCATACGTAAATTAAATCTTTTTGAAGCTCGCACTTGTTCACTTTAAGTAGTAACTGGGTCATCGTGTCCACAAGACTGAGCATGCACCAATACAAGCCGTCATAAGGAGGTGGTCGACCTTGCTTCATCCTGAGATTCAATGCTTCAAAGATATCCAACAAAAATTCAAATACTAAGTTTTAATTATTTCATTCATGGATTATTTGTTTCTAAATACCCTTTCCTTATGTTATAGACGTGAATCTATTGAATATTAAAAATCTCAAATAATAAATTATTTGATATTATTTGCCAATGACAGTATGTTATCAGTAGCCTATACTAAATGATTCTGTAAATTTTTGTATTTCTTTTACATATAAACAAATTGGCTTTTTGTTAGAAATAGATGTGATCAAAAATCAATGTTGTCTACTGGTAGGAAATCTATCATAATACATTTCAATTCAACATTTGATTTGTTTGTATCGGTTTTTTTTTGTATGCAATACAATCTCTTTGTCATGAAATTCAGTTGAATTTGACTCCCACTTATTAGTAAACGGTCATCGACAATGATGTAAGGTAGCATTCAACACACAATTGGGAGCGTTGAAGACTCTTATTCATTTTATTTTCTTTTTAGTCCATGAGGTATCTAAATTAGAGTGTTATCTTTTTCTTAATATTAGAATTGCTAGCTATACTTTGTTAAGGATGAATAATTGAAGGTTATTTCTTCTAATACTACATCACAAGCATTTGATTTTTGAATTACGCTACTACTAGTCAAACTTGACAATCTGCCCTTCACTGAATTATTGACTTACCAAAAAATCTGTCATATGAACATAGAAGAATCTACTTTGATGTTGTGATGTTGAAACATATGAACATTGTAGTTGATATGTGATTATGACTTCAAGAAAAATATATCAATTTTAACATTGTGTTATTCAATATTGATGCACAAATCATACATGGAATAAGCATGCAATGTTTTATCTTGGTTTGAAAAGGATTATTGTGAATAAGATGTTCATTCCAAAAATGTTTGAGAATTTTGTTATGAATCATCACCATACACAATCATCATCAATTTGTTGTGGAGTTACAAATCTAGTAATACTTAATTTCAAAGTTAGTTGATAGTCAAACTTATTACAAATTTTTTGATACATATTTCGGATTTCATTGATTGTAGTATATGTCGTGCTAACATGTATCGTCATACAAACTACATCGTTGACATATCATAATCACACATACATATATAAAGAACGAGATCATACACACACCAATGCATCACAACTCGCGCAATATAGTCATGAGTGACCTAATCTAGGATCTACCCAGGTTCAACTCAGCTAGAATTAATCATAACCCAATGCTAATTATAAACGACGCATAAACACATGACATATATCAACAGTCCTTGATGACATCATTTGTAACTATTTTTTGATATGAAAACTTATCTTGAGTTATAAGAGTAATAATGTAGCATATTTTCAAAGATATTTAATGTCATTAATATATTTCTTAGTGAAATGTCACAATTTTACATTGGTATTTTATACATGCATGAATAATGTAAATTGTATATCAGGTGAAAAGACTAAATATTGTTGGATGTAGAGATTATTAAATTTTTGCACAGTTTAAAATTTTACAATAGTCTAAAATTTCATCAAAATCGACATATGTTCAAGAGCAAAGTTTAATAATTGATAATGCATGAAATTGTTTTTTCTATGTAACACATATTCATGCATTGATATACTGAAAGATATTTTGTCATTGTTCTCTTACGAATTTTTATTTTTATTTTACAAGATCCTTGCATTTAAGTCAATTTTTATGTTGCTTTTAGAGTAGTATAATTTATCATTGTATGTTTACACATATTAAATGTTTTGACCTGTATATGAAATGTTTTATGTAGCATTTGATTCTCATTTGGCTTGCAATGATGGGTGAAATTATGTTCAGAGGTTCCTAGCTATACCAATTACATTTTGGTACATTTTACATATTGGTTAAAAAAAATGTTGGACTGTATTGTACAGGGTTTGTTAATCATTGATATTAAAAATACCACATTCATTCCATGTATAATTAGAAATTATGATATGTTTACTGGAGAAATGAGAGGTAAAACCAAAGTTAAATTGTGTTGAAAGTTTTGAATTCAATATATTATTTTTATAATTATCTTATATTCAAAATTAAATCTTTATATAATGCAAGAGAGAAGTAAAAAATTTAAATTTATAAGAATTTTGAAATCATAATATAAAATATTTTACATCAATATCATTACTATAGGGAAAGTTTTGAATTAATAAGACATGTAGATACTTTTCGTATGTTATGTATATACAAATATATTTGTTTTGTGAAAAATTAAAATTATATTATTTGTCAAAATAAATCACATGACAAGGATAATTCAATCAATGGATTTTGGTATTTTTTATCTAATAATTTATAATAAATAAAATTTAGATTACATTTTTTAATGATATGATGGTGAAGGATTCAAATAATATTCATATAAATAGTCCGTAATGGATCCAATTATTCCCGCCAAAGTGAGAACCTTAGCAACGTGACTGGATATGCACGTGGAAAAGAATCGGAAAGTGTTCACTCACTTTCTCCTCGACGTCATCTGTGGTACCCTGTCAAACAAGTCATTTGTTGCGTCGTGCAGGACAACCCGTTGACTTCGTGCTTGACTCACGTAAAGGTCGAAAATGTACCTCCCAATGGTACTGAGAATCTGTTCCCTTGATTGCATGATAACTTATCATTCATCTTTCGGGTCACCTTATCATTGATAAGGTGACCCGGGTCCTCCAATACGTTCTTGGAGTTAGCGGGTCCCCTGACAGATATCTTATCCAACTTTCCATATTCGGACACATAACCGGTAGAAACATCAAACGTATAGTACAATCCAAAGGGGTTCCTCTTTGAAGGATTCGTGTATTCCTTCAAAGTGGAACATTTCCTCGTGACCCTCGTGCATTTTATTCTGATTGTACACAATGTAAGATGTAGATTCCTCCAAAGTTGCCATCTTTGAACTGTGTTCTCTTCTTTTTCAACTGCAAACTTCTTCAGTAATTCTGTACTTGTTCTCTTATTGGTGATGGTGCGGTGGCTTGAACCTCATCTGAGATAGGATACTCAAGCATGTAAATCAAGGACTCTTCATGGATAAAGGTGAGAGGAGTCATTATCAGCTTTTTAAATAGTTAAGGGAAATCTTTTTCAAGCACTGTCCCTCTCTCGCTAGGGGGAAAAACCAGGATCTATTTTTCTTAGTTAAGGGAAATCTTTGTCAAGCACTTTCCTCTCTCGCTAGGGGGAAAAACCAGGATCTATTTTTCTTAGTTAAGGGAAATCTTTGTCAAGCACTTTCCCTCTATCGCTAGGGGGTAAAACCAGGATCTATTTTTCTTAGTTAAGGGAAATCTTTGTCAAGCACTTTCCCTCTCTCGCTAGGGGGAAAACCAGGATCTATTTTTCTTAGTTAAGGGAAATCTTTGTCAAGCACTTTCCCTCTCTCGCTAGGGGGAAAAACCAGGATCTATTTTTTTTTGGTTTTTGTGTATCTTCCAACGTGGATGAGACCGTCACGACGACAATAAAGTACAGAAGAATGAAATCCGTGATGGTCGCACCATAGACCAGTTGCAGATGAAGGATTGAGCACCCATACCCATACCCATCATGGCCTCTGCTCTCGGAATCGGCAAGAGGCTGTTGTTGCCCAAAGCAGAGGCCGTCCTATAAATCAGTCTACAAGCATATATATATCCACACAATAAACAACGTGACAGAAACCGCACAGCTCGTGATTTTTCATTCATGGCTAACGGCTGCGTTTGTAGAGATTCTCGTTACTCATCATATGAATGTCTTGCGCTCGTCATGAAGCCTCCTTCCCACTTGTCCAACGTGCACTACATAGCGTGAGATTGTGGACTTGAAAAGTGGATATCTCACGCGCTGAGAACATGCAAACATGTTCATCTGGAACTTTCTGGTTGAACATGTCCACCTCCACATGCTCTAAAGTCCAATGGTTAGATAGAATTGTGGAGAAATTATGTCGCCCCAGCCGAAGTTGGGCCTCGGGTGCTCGCGTGCACAGCGACTCGGCTCTGCGTGTCCATCTGAGAGGTCGATGGACACGCAGCATCCTGATAGACCGTATGAAGATATGAGTAAATGAATTTGAGCCTACAGGCCCATGATAAAATATCGGGGATCATCATATGCTCTGAAAATTTAATCCGAATCCAAAAATCCGAAGGCAAAGTCACCTCATGAAGAGTATAACCTTGAATCTCCGGGATCCCACTTTGTTGGAATGTAGTGATTGATTTCCTAGTGTACAGTACATACTCAAGGTCCGTAATCAATGCCAATCAATTCCTTATGTTCCTTGTAGCTCCTTGTTCCTTGTTCCTTAAGTGAGGAGGTTTTTGTATAGACCCACCTGTCATGAGATGATTGTTGCTGGAGTTTCTCCGTCCTCTTTGTAAACGGGGCAGTTATACAGAGCTTAGTATTCCAGTGGTTCAGCTTGAAGTGCAAGAAACAAACGATTTGGTCACCGCAAATCATGGCCAGCAGGGTGTCTTGGTCCACTCGAGTTATAAGCTGTCAGAGAAAACCAGCTTCTGTTCTCTGAGTTACCAACCAATCTTGCTGAGTTCAGACTGGTAACTGCAGTGGGCCAGCTCTCCGGTTAGACACATATCTCCTTTGACCTCTACAGCTTCTCCGTGCCGTGTTCCTGCGTGATCGAATCCCCTACGATTTTCGCCGCTACTAAGCAGGTACCTCGTGTAGGCTTTTGAAAAATTCCCCCAGATCGTTCTGCGAGGCACATGATGGAGGGGCACTACTTCAGCTTGATGCAGTCTTATCTTGCATCAGACTGTCCGGCAACAGTCAGACACACTGCGCCTGATGGCTTGAGAATCGAAGATCATTTCGCAGCTGAGCTGAGTGACGGGAGATTCATGGTCAGTCAACACTCCATGCAGTCGGACTCTGGGTCGGGGTCGTACTTGAGGGAGCGAAGGGGACAATTTCCGACGAGTTGTTCGAAGGGAGGGTCGCCTCTGCATCACCGAATTTGACGACCTCTACGTGGTGCTTGTCGAGCAAAGTTATCCACGAAGCTTTTGCAGCTGACCAGAGCTGCAGAGAAGCCACTCACTGCCCCGGGATGGCAACCATCCAGAGATCCTTTCAGAGGTAGACTTTTCCACCGCTCAAGAAACATCTTTGTCACGAGAATTTTGAATATGGAATCGTGTACTTTTGTCCAAAGTTTTATAGGCAAAATATGAAAAGAACCGCCGAAGAAACTCCATCATTACCTCGACAGTTCACAGAGTAGACTGTAGACAAGCACTTCTCTCTTACACAAATCGATGCAGATTGTCATCACTACATCGCAAAGTTGAGATCCCATCTTAGTATCTGGTCCAAGGCTTCCGTCCTTATCTGACTGGATCTTGATCTTGCACTCAACACCTTCGGTACTCATGAAGTTCAGTCACTGGCGTGAAAAGTAATGCGTCTGAAGATCAGACTGACTGACCAGAACACACTTCTCAACAGCTTCGTTCTTTCAAGCGGCTTTTTAAACCTCAGTGAAGATTATCGTTTAGTAAGTCGGTGTTCAGTGCACTGCAACTGGGCAGCGTTGTCCATCTCGCAGATCCCAAGAGAGCGTAGGTCAATCTAAGACACCATGAGTCATTTCACTGTCGGTGCTCTTTCAGGACATTTGCAGTTCACGAGAGCTCCATTGTTGTACTCGCATATCACAAGATGCGTGAGCTTCTCTCGTTATTTCAAGCCCAAATGACAGTCTCCTTCCCATTTCTAGAGTCGAGGTTTCCTTTGAGGCTCAAATCGATCGAACACCAAACTCAAGTTTGCGTTTTGGCGAGCTGTAAAATTGGGTAGAAGCCCACTAAAAGAAATTTCATGTTGTTGCAATTCAAGTACGGTCTAAATCCTAAATCCTAAATCCCCCACCGGATTCAATTCTTTTGCAGGACATGCCAACTATGGAGACGTGTATCACAGCAGTCGCCAGCCCTCTCCACGGGACTGAGGCATATGTCCTCGACCCCAGAGCCGATCACGAACAAGAGGTAAACAGAGAGCTTCAGTTCCTTAGCATGACGAGGTGTCTCGAGCTCTGTTGATTTGGTGAATGTGACGGGGCGCAAAGGACACGAGTGTAGGATGAGCTAAGAGGGCTGTGTCTGGGTGATGGTGAGCTGAGCAGACTGGAGGGGAAGGTGGCGATCATAACAGGAGGAGCCGGAGCGATCGGCACGGCGACGAGCAAGCTGTTCGCAGCGCACGGGGCGCAAGTGGTGATCGCGGACGTGAGCGATGAGCGAGGGGAGAAGCTGGCGCAGGAGATCGGGCACGGCGCAGTGTACAGGCGCACGGATGTGACGAGCGAGGAGAATGTGGCGGCCACCGTCGCCTTCGCCGTCGAGCAGTTCGGGCAGCTCGACATCATGTTCAACAACGCGGGCGTCATCACGCCGCTCGACACCTTCGAGAACCTGGACATGGAGCTCTACGACCGGCACACGGCGGTCCTGGTGCGCGGGGTGGTGTGCGGAATCAAGCACGCCGCGCGAGCCATGATTCCACGTAAGCGCGGCGTCATCCTCAACACGGCCAGCACCGCCTCGGTGCGCTCGGGAGCCACCATGCCGCTCATCTACAACATCAACAAGTTCAACATCCCGGGGCTGACGAGCGTCGCCTCGTTCCACCTGGCCAAGCACGGCATACGTGTCAACGCCGTGTCGCCGCACGGCATCCCATCTGGCGTCGTGGTCGACTGGCTGCGCCTGCTAGGCTGTGACTCGACGTGGGAGAAGGTTGTGGCCGCCTTCAAGGCCGCGTCGCCCCTGCCCGACCGCCACACGACCAACGAGGACATCGCCAACGCCGCCCTCTTCCTCTGCAGCGACGAGTCCGGGTACATCAGCGGCCAGAACCTCGTCGTCGATGCAGGATTCTGCCAGAGCGTCGTCTACGATCCTCTCCAGTTGGGCGATCCCTTCAAGTCCTCGCCATAGCTTCCTCTTCTTTTGCATCCCTCCAATTACAGACCTTTACGCGGTCAGATGACCTGTAACATGAGTTCGCTCTCAGCTGACCGCATTATCAATGATTTTCCACATTACCATGTGCGTCGATATGTCAGTGCTCGATTTGGATCCTGTGATGATTAAGTTCCTTGATTTGGTCTTTATTCTCACCTTGTTGGGTCTTCTGACACGAGTTCTTACTGTTCTCTGGTGCATCCTTCATCCTTCCTTCGTGTTAAACGCTGTGGATATCGATCATTGTGTTCATTGGCATTCCAATACGAACTTTCCCTCTCTCCAATTTCAGGCGAGACCTTCTTACTCTTCTTTGGTGCATCATGTTGGAAGTCTAGACTGCATAAGATTGCATCCTTGACATTTCAGCACAGGTTATCCCCCAACCCGCTTTCGGTCGGGGTTTCATGCAGATTACCGCCCTCCTCTTTCTTGCCTTTCCGTGGGAGCAGTTGCTCGCGTGGGGCTTGCTTTCTCCAATGTTGACCCAAAATCTCAAAATCTTGTATGTTGACAATGTAAACTCTTCTCGAGCGATGCGTGTCAACGTTGTACTCTAGGTTCTGGAGTTCGAGCGTAATGTCAGAAACAAGGAAGTTCGTTTACCCCTGTAGGTCATGCCAGGGAAGGTGCCATAGCTTTGTCTGTGGTTCATTTCCAACAGCAACACCCCCACAAAGATCCGTCAACCGCTCACTACTCCGTGCATGACGCACATCACGTCCTTGTACCCTCCCTAGTGAGCATTCCAGCCATGATTATCAGAGTCATTTGTCACTGAGTCCAAGATCGCTGAGACTACCACATTTGTCAGCTTCTGTGCAAGTCGTTAAGCATCACAAATAGTGGTTCTTCCAAATATCTTCATATGAAGCCGGGAGTTGTGTGACAAGTGAATTGCTCTGTTTGTCTCTGTTGGAGAATCTTCTACATATTTACACTCGGACTCATTCTTTTCCCACATCAATGTGCTGAGTGATCCTTCTCAAGACCTCATCCTAATTTCCAAGTCGTCCCTAGGTATACGTTGGCCAACTTTTTGGTGGATATTCTCACTAAAGGTGAAGTTGCCTTGACTGTAAAAGGTTTCTAAAAGCTCTCGGTCACTTTATTACTTACATCGCCAAAGTACTCTTTTAAATCGGACAACTTTTGACTCCGACATTTTCTCTACTTTCTGTTATGTCAAGCAGTCCATCACCGAATATGTGCGCATCAATTAGGAAGAGACATACACCGTATGAGACAGTCTTGGACTTACTTACTCTTTAATGACTTACATTTTCTGGCTAATAGCCGGCCTGAATTCACTTATCAAGACCTCCTACAGATCTGAAACATTACCCTGATTGTGCTCACTTTTGCAACTCATGGGTTGAGGTTACAGCACCTCATGCGAAAGTCATTCAAACTCTGATGAAAGTGTCTAGTGGTGGATAGTGCTCCAATATATCCGATAAGTAGAACCTTCGATAGTACCCATTTCATCCATCTAACGGAAATATACTATGTGAGAACAGTAGAAGATTCGATCGTAAAACATCAACTTCACCATAACATCAATCATTCGAAAATGAGTCGATTTTGTATTAGTTCTTCAATTCTGAGTTCGCTAATGTTGGTCTAACAAATTAGCCCACACTCTCTTCTTACTAATCTGCAGTGGCAAAATGTAGACTACTATGTACAAACCCATTCAACACCAGACTGAAAATCCCGAACATATAGACTTCAATCTCGGTTCATCTAAATACAAACGACTCCACCAAAGCCCGAAAGAACCAGAAAGCAACTTCTTGGCTGAAAGTGACTCGATCATCATTGAAGCTCCCGAGCTCTTCTGCAACTTCTTTACCATCTAGCCACTAGCTCTGTCGCAACCTCTCGGCACTTTCATTTCAATATCGAACACCTAGCCTGCATTTCTTCACTACCAAGGAACTCAGAGTGGATCGGCAAAGAAATTCCTCCACTCTCGCCAACTTTGCTCTCTCATCTTCCAATCTTTGTCTCTTCCACCTTCTACTCATGATTCTTGGAGCCATCTCTTTCTTTACCCACTAAAATCTCATATTTGAAGCTTTACACTCATCCAACCATTCATCGTCCAAGTGATCCTATTTACCACATATACAAACTAAACCGGAAACTGTAAATTCTAGAACTACAAATCCCGGATGCTCGCCCAGTGTGATGAGACAACACCTCTGTGTTACAGCTTCAATCATTCTCAATACATTTGATAACTACTGACAGAGTGTCTATCGAATAAACATATTCGATCTGGATCTCATGCGGACTTGATACATTTTTCCTCTTCAAAATTTTTTCAATGCATCCGTCTCACTTACTAATGTGAGTGACAGATGATGCATTCGACCTACAAAGCTGTCAGAAACATTCCTTGTTGGATAAAGCGCAAACAGAAAGTCCGACCGTGATTCCTGCCAATATAAACAAATCCCGAGAAACAAGCCTACTGCATATGCACGATGTCCAGATTCTGGTGGACAGGCGGCGGGATTCAAGGACTTACAGCCCATAAATATGATATCATTGTCATTGTTGATACCACATCCCTTTCACTGCTGAGCATCTCATATAGAAGAATAATTGATGGGGCCTGCTGAGACTTGGTCTTTCCAGACAGAAATACATGTATGGCTGTTAAAACAAACACCAGATCGAACTCTCGGAGGCTTCGACCATGATTCAGGTTTGATGACCACACAAACGAGTTGAGCAAGAATCGATTAGTTTGCCGTTTGTCCTCCTTGACGACAGGTTACAGAAGTCGAGGGAAATTGTCATCGCCAATTGCCTACAGTTTAAATTTAGACGTAGAAGTTTCTTGAAGAACGTTTGGATCTGTATCGCAGTTTGCACCTCCGTGGCACTGCGCATATTCAGGACCAACCTCAAAGGGCTATAATCGTTGATCCAGCTTTTGGCATTGAATACAAGCCTCTTGTAATTGATCGTTTGTGAGGAAGTGTCCAGCAGAAGTTGGACATGGAAATCTTATCAGTGCTGGGTTGAGGGGACCTGTATAGACCAACCACATGAGGCTAACAGATTTTTCATTGCTTGCACTTTGGGAGAAGCCAGTTGCAATGCCGTAGAGAAAGAGGTTGATGAGTTTCTCGATTTAAAGACTCCAACATTGGACTGCATGTCATGATTTCCAAGAAGGAAGAGCTCTCCCTATGGTTGATCACCTCAGCATAAACGTCAACGAAGAGCTTCAATACTTTGTGAAAATTTTCCGCATGGATGACAGCAGTTGGTGTGATATGATATCGAGGGTAGTTGCTGTGGACACAGGCGGTGATGTAACAACTGATCAAAGCATGGCTGTGAAGGCCGTGAGTGCTGTGAAAGATGAATTCGTAAAGATGCTGAGCTCAGTTTTGGCCAATTTCCAATGGGATCATGAATGAAGAGCGCAACTTAAGAAAGCAAATGTCCTCCGTGAATGACTCCGCCAAAGATACAAACTGCATGGAACAGGACACCGGATCTTCAACTGTACCTTCAAGTGGTCACACACGTACTGCACCAACTGGGGTTCAATGGATACTCGCAGCATTTGTGCACTCATGGAGTAGGATCGTCCTGCCGGTGCTCGACTGAATCGAATGAGAGATTCAATCGCTGATATAAATCGTATCCGAGAATAGATATTTGGGGTTTTGTAAATTAATAAGAATTCGTCAGACGAGCCACATTTTGTGGATCTTGCACAGTTAGCAAGTGGATCATGTCGAGATGGACCGAGTTAACTTTCCAGCTACAAAGCTTTTGCGAATTTTGCCAACACCTCGGACTGTTGAGAAAACAGTGATATCATTGCCACGGCTCGAGGTGAGTCGAGTCGAGATCGAAGGATTAATTTTCGAGAATTGGTCGAGGAGCTCTATCCAGCCATCAAAACTGGGCTGGATAGAACTTTTCAGCGTTTGAACAGGAGCGATGGCGAGCAAGAATGTATGAATTCTTGATGGCAAAAGAAGAAAGCGAGATAAGCACAGAGATTTTCGGTCTGCAACCGCGCAGTGATGGACTGGAACCAAGGAGGAGCGTATCGGGTCACGTGGCTGCGCATGTCAATCGAGCGATTCGAACTCATGCCGTGGCTCCGATCCAAGTTGTAGATGACGACGATACGGATTGTTGTAGATCTTGGCAAATCTTCCTCAACTCCGTCTCGACGCTGGTGTCTGCTGGATTGTACCTCTGCGATGTCGTCAGCACCATCTTGGTCGCTCTGCAGTACTATGAATTCCATCAGGACCACACCTTCGACCACGCTCACAAGACTGCTGCAGCTCATGATCATTCTCAGATTCCCTTGCGTGCTCTGATCGCATGCCTCGCGTTGATGCTCGTCTCCCATTTGGGCAACGTGCTGGCGTTCGCCTTGATCCTTCCATCCGAAGAGCACCCCTTGCGATCGGCCTACTTTCTGCCTCTAGCACAGATTCAAAGACTTCTCATTGCAGCTTGGAGGACGGCCAAATGTGGCAGGTATGTCCAGTCCGGCCTTGGATCTTTGAATCTCTGTCTGTCTATGGACGAGGACCTCTATCCTCTCCCCATGCCACATTGAGCTTTGCGCATCAGCCTCGTTCATATTCGATTCTTTCCATCTGCTGTATCGCTTTCTAGCCAGCTTCTGCTCGACACAATGTTCATGTACAGCAGAGGAAAGTGACTTATCGATTGCTGCTTTCCTTGCTTATCGTGCCGAGAATTTGATTTGATTGTTCAGACATTGATTGAGCTCGAAATTCACAGAAGAATTCGAGACCTCGTGTTGAGGAATTTGAGTGATGGACATGTGTAGGGGCGCAAAGCCGCCGGAGCCGTCGGAGACCGAGGCACTGTACGCCATCTTGTCGGTGGCGGAGGCTGGACCACAACTGTCGCTGCAGTTTTTCGTGATAGTTGAACTCGGCGGTGGATCTTCGACATGGCAGCCGTCGGCTGTGCTCGTCATCTCCGTTCTGGCCTCTCTTCTGTCAGCTGCGTTCAACGCTGGCAGATCCATCATGTACCAGTCGAGCATGAGATGGACGCTCGCCCTCAATACCCCGGGCATTGCTGGAGGTAAGATTGCCTCCCTCCCTCCATCAATAACCCCCACCGATGATTGCAACTGCGTCGAAACGATCAATTTCTCGAATTGCGTTGTCGGAATCAGAATCCCGAATCCGAATCCGACTCCCTGCAGAGCTTGCCAATGCATCACCAGAGCTGCAGCATCTTTCGACATCTTAGAGCATATCCCCCCTGGAGGCAGTAGCTCTGACCGCCATTCCACCATGAGATTCAATTGACGACAAATCAGGAGTCTCCATCTCCACAGCATACGAAATCACACTCCATCATCGTCGGGCAAGTTGTTGAGTCGATAGGCATGCCATTCCCGACACTTGTCAGCAAATGCATATGCAAGAATGATGAGATTGCACGAGCTGTGATTCAATCCGGGCCGGCAGTCTCAAGCAGGGCTGCGGATGCATTTCTCTCTGCAGGGATGTACACCATCGGAGCTTTGCTGCTGCGATGTACGGCCATAGCGTCCGTGGCGCTGTCGGTAAGAGTGTCGGGACTGAGTCAGTTGAAGATGGTGGGATTTTTTGTGGCGTTGCTGGTGATTCCTGTGGCGTTCGTGAACGGGGTCATCTCTCTGTGGCCGACCATGTCGGAGCTGGGCACGAGCGCAGCGAAACTTCAAGCCCTGATCGCCTTCTACACGGGCATCTTCATGGGACCTCTGTACCCTGTGGTGCATGGCTATCGACACACCCGCATGTCCTACCGGATCCCCCTCGCAATCACCACTCTCATGAACATGCTCGTCGATGTCATAGCCTTGGGCGTTCTCGCGCTGCTCAACTGGAGCCCCTGCAATTTCTCCACCCGTACACGAACCATGGCCGAGTCCCAGGGCGCCAATCTGCCCTTCTTAAGCTCGACGCTCAAATGCCCTCAATTTGTGGGCTTTGTCGGCACCGGGGCATGTCTCACTCTGGCCTCGGCCGTGGTCTTCATCTGCTCCGTGGCTGGCTCGCGCTACCAAGTCCGCCAAGGCGAGCGACTGATCCGGCTCGAGAACAGAGGTGGACTCGGCTGCAGTGCATCGCAGCTGGAGCCCAATTAGGCCCCTTTCATGCCATAATCAACACCCGATGAATCTGAACACCTCCTCCTCCTCCTCCTCTTCGACCTCTGCACCATTTACAGCAGACTCGCATCGCTCGCCATGAATTCACCGGCAGACTCCAATCCACCGTCATGATGAGAGCAGATGATGCAGCACTCCGTTCCACTCTCGTTCACTGCACGGACAATTTGGCTTCGATCACTTGTTTTTATTCTCTAGCTGGTGGCTCCATCAATCTGGCACAATGTTCGTCTCATCGAGGAACTCGTAAAAGGGTAGAAATATGCACCGAACTTCAAGATTAGGATCTCCAGCCAGAGCCACAATTGCTTCGTGTGTGTGACTCCATACGTGCATGGATTTGCACGGCATGTCTCTACGGCAAAGCTAGAGAAAATGCTTCTTCCTTCCGAAAATGCACAAAAACCTTAACAGACTCATGCTCCAATCTTTTCCCTACATATGAAGCATTTGGATTAAGTCGTACCTTTCTGTTGACAATATTCGCAGGATAGATGTTTATCACATGAAAATATATCCGACAGCCGGATATGATGTGCTGATAGTAGACTGTATTTCAGAATGGCCTAATCACGTGGTCCTTGTTTGAGTGGACCGTCGGCTTCTGTTCTGTCATTAGGAATGAATGTCTTGAATTGTGATCCACTTTTCTCCAATTTCTCTAATTCGACGTTTGCAGATAAAATTGTGATCGGCTACTGTTGCATTGAGAGATGGATAAATGATCATTTCGTACGATCATAGCAATCAATCCTTGATTGAAAACTCGATGTAAAAAGTTGTTGTATTTACCAAAAGTTTGAAACAAAACAGAAGCATGCATTGGATTATAGTGATGGAAGTTTTGAGTTTCAGTGGCTTGAGTATTTGTTTCCATTAGAATCTCCGACTTGGGCTTCTCCTTTTATGACCAGACACGATACAAATCTTGTATATCCATGTGCAGGAAGAATTGATCATAAACATTTAATAAAGAAAACATAATCATCAGCAGCCGAATTACAAGTTCATCTATTCTAATCTCCGTATGTAATAACGCATATTGCACTTCTGCTCGAGAAGAATGCATATTGAGCAACTTCACAAAAATTTAGCAAGACACCTTTGGAGGTACTTATGAAACCTTCAAATCTCAGTCTAATCTTGACAGATATAATTTTCACATGGCTTTCTCAAACGGATTTCAGCTTGAGATGTTTGGACCATAAACATACGATGTATAGCCTGTATATCGTCAAATTTCAATGTAGATGGATCCTATCGTCATGCGGAGCCCTGTCGATTTGGGATGAATTTCATCTCTAAACCCATTGTCCAAAAGCTGTTAAAGAAACTTTTCAGCTAGGATAATACTCCAGAGTATGTGGAAGATGTACCACATAATCTTAAAAGCAGATCCAGATCCAGATCCTGAGTCCCTCACAAGTCTGAGATATCTCCAGGGCTCGGATCGTGAGGTGCTGTACAGCCAGGAGGACCGCAGCTGCTTGTGGCAGAGTCCTCGAACATGGAGGCTATCTATGACTTTCTGATCATCAACAGGTAGGAAGAGTGGGGTGAGAGATATTCTTTTCTTCACATCCAGTGTCTGCTGAGGTCGTGGACGCATCATCATCATCACCATCCTAGTTCGACCTCCACACAAAACAGAAAGAAATGCTCTCCTGAGCTTTGATGTCCTGTCCTGTCGTGTCCTCCTACTTTTGTCCCCAAGTCTCTTCGTACAGCCGTCGGTCAACTTGGCCAAGAGCCTATGCTTTTGCATCGGGGTCGGTCGAAGTCGTGAGTAGAACGGAAGAGCTACAAGTAGATAGTAAATAAAAACAGATGTGGTGGCCGGGATTTGGACCCCACGATCGACTCGGGGTCGACTTGACCTGATGAGCTCAAATGCACGCGTATCCAGCAGGAACTGCTTAGCAGACCTACCATAAACAACTGCAGACATAATGAATCACGTCATTAAAAACGTGCGAGCCGGAATTTCTTAGCCACGGTAGCTTCAGGTCTGCAATGACATATCGATGGATTTAATACAGATCACCGACACATCCTGCCTGCCTGCCTGCCTGCCTGTGCATTGTAAGTCTTCAAGAAAGCACGGGGACAGAGAAGATGAGGAAGAAGTAGGAGTCGTGTATACAGTTCGAACAACAATCGTGGGCCTAATTCTGTACACAGTGTGATACTATTGGGGGCCTAGCACCATCTGACACCTTTGGTTTCATTCGTGGACGATGGGGTGATGGGGTCTTTTCATCCCTTTGGCTTTATTACTTGGTTATCATATAGACAGTTGTTGGAGCGAGGAACAAAAAAGTTGTGTGGCATGGATGGATGTATCAATCATGGTACCAATCGCTGTCGATGGAAAATGCATTGGGACCTAACTTGTCTGCGGACGAGAGTCTATGTCGTACGCCTATGAGCTCACTAATGAATCTTCCTACGTTTGAGCTATACTGAACAATCGCGTAATCTGCTATCTTGCCGATAATGTACAAAGTCGCCAAAAAGTGTTCCTGCGCAGAATACTTCATCTTCGGCGGGATATGAGTGTGCCCACCCATCCTTTCGATCAGCTCCATGTCAAAACTCCAGTCGTACATGATGAAGCGTTTCCCTTCTCGCCCATTTGCCGAATCTGGGGCAGTACCGTTTTGTATGTCGTTCATGTCCATCGCCAGGGATTCCATTGCGGTGCCCGAATCGGAAATGATGAATAGCGACTGCCACTTGAAGTTGTATTTCTTTTCCAGCTTCTGTATTTGGACGGCATAATCTCCAACGCTTCTGTAGTTGCCTGTTTTTCTGAAGTAGGGGTCCTCATACTGCCACAGCCACAATACAGCCACCAGCAACAAATTTGAGTCCAGATCCGAATTGCTGGCCGAACCCTTCACAGAATGGAGGCAACGGCAGTCGAAGAAATGATTTTGTCATCCCCTAATTCCCTCAGTTTTGAGAAAGAACAGAGAGATTGAATTCATGTTCTCGTTTTAAATTTCGATTACAAGTCAAGGAAGGAAAGTGAATCTGAGCACTGATTCGAAATCTGGTCAGTAGACACAGAGGGAAGGAGTAAAGAATTCAGACAAAGGATTTTTTTTTACAGCTTCAGCTTCAGCTCTGGCTCTGGATGATTTCAGATTAATGTTACGTACTTGCTTGTCGGTCTGCCGAACATGGATGGCCAGGACGGGTGGAGCCCAGAGCGGTATGCCATCGGCGTTTGCATATTTAGCCATGATCGAGTCTGCGATCCTCTTGACATTTCGCGAAGTCTGCTTGATCATCCACGCACTAGTCATGGAGTGAATCACAAAATCGATTTGTGGGACACTGACGTGCTCGATGGCCTCGTCCGCCTTGCCGACCACTCGCACCGTTCCTTGTTGACGAAGCTCGTTCCACTGCTGTAACCTGTGCTCTGTCGCAGCTCTGTGAAATTCGTCTCGCACACCCCAATCGTACTCGAAACTTCTGAACACAGCCATGCCGTTTCTGAGCGCTGAATCGTTGAAGACCTGAATCCACGGTAACCCTGTTAAGTCGTCACTCGACTTGTCAACCTCGGCCAGCATCTTCAGCCGGACCGGGTCATCTTCAACATGGCAGCTCGTGATGTTATAGAAGCATCGAAGGTTTCTGTTCTTCCTCTTCCCGCAGCCATCGAAAGTCGGCAGCTCTTTCGGGTAGTGCCCCTCTGCCTGCCCTACCGGAATCATCGTGTATCCATCGCCTTTTCCGAGTCCATGAGAAAAAATTGGAAAGAAGACGTGTGTGCAGGACAAGAGACCTGTGCAAGTAGACATATATATATTAGAGGAAACTCTTTTGCTGCGTGAGTTTGTTGAGCAAGTTCAGAAAGACATTCTCGATCAATTGCAGACTTCGTAGGAATATCTATGAAACATTAAGGAAATGCTTTTGAAGCAAGACAACGAAGGAATAAATTATGTCACAGATGAAAATTGCTGCAGCAACAACCCCAAAGTGCACTAACGAGGGGTGACAACCTTCGGTGATTTAGAACGAAAAGATCCATTCCAAGTTCATCGCCGGTGTTCTTAATCATACGCGTTCGTAGTGGTTGTGTCAGAAACAATTCATGAGACGCTGTAAGACCTGACGGAAGTTCTGATCTGAGTCTCGTACCTGAGTCATGCTCCCGATGTACAATCCAAGTGTTTTTCGTGCAGTTGGATGGGAACTGTCTCGCATCCACCGTCGACATGAAATAATCCCTCACGTCTTCATCGTACCAGATGCTTCCGGATCTCAACTCATCGTGCATAGCATGTCGACCTCGCCAATTCGGATCTAAGGAGTGAAGAGACTGATCATTCCACCAGAGCGTTGAAAAGTTCGACCAAGTGTACAAGCTCTCTCCAGAATCATCGAAGCTGCTGAATCTCCCTGCGCGTTCACGACATCCGTTTTAGATCAATCGTTCTACAGAATTATTCGGAATCAGTCTTCAAAATTCAAGTAAGTCAGCCAGCAAAACTATACAGATATTCTGTAGTAATCTTGCGACCAACATGTCAGTTTTCGGCGTGACAGACAACAGCAGATGGACAGAAACACTTACAGCTTGCAGCCCAATCAGCTCGAATGGCAAGATCCTTTTCTGAGGACCAGGGATAATTCTCAAGGAGTCGGGTGCAGTCTAGAATCAGGAACGAGACGAGAATCAACGTCACCACTGACAGCACTGAATAAACCACTGAAGAACGACTCTTCAGTAACTCCATCGCAAGGTCTCTCCGAGCGGTTCAAGACTGCGAAACAATATTGAACTATGTTCTGGCCGGTTCATTTTCACCGGCGCAATTGTTTACTCACGATTGTCATGTGTCCAACAGAATCTCAGCCCAGATTTGCGGCTTGCGCAACCGTCTGCAGCAACAGGTACTATATGTACACTGCACCCAAATTCCGATCCAACACGAGGAATGTTAAATCGTCCTCTCAACACTGTCAAGCCTCTATGCAAATATCCTTCTCGTGGAATCGCGTCGGGATTCTTATGCCAGGTGGAAGGCTCGTTTCTTCTCAGATGGTTGACGAGGTGCAGACGAGACGAGACGAGTCTGATCAGAGGACTAGCCGGTCACCTAAATTGCGTATCTTGAACTCCAACTGCGCTATCGTCGTCCGTGGTCAAGAGCGCCATCAACCAATACCATCACACGAATAGCATCATGCCAGATATATATCGAAAGCCCGAGCTATTGGCACAGATTCCACACATGACACCGTACCGACAGACGTGTAGGACCCATGCCAGAGACCGCACTCCGTGACTCAATGGAGAAAGATTCACTACTGCGCTCGTACTGTCTCGCCACTTCGACTCCACCTATCGCTCCATCACTATGGTAGGCTCCGTCTTCTCAACCAGGTCCTCTCCACGTTATGGTCTGACGCGTCCTGCCCACCTTGAGACCGTGATTTTTACCGGCCATGGTGGGGCCTGAGTCCGCAACAAAACAAATGCTGCTCAGTTTCTTCTTCTTCTTCTTCTTCCTCCTCTTTTTTCCTTTCTTTCAATTCACGTTCCTTACGTAGTCCGGCGTGGGTAGTCGAAGACTTCCGGGTTCCAGTACTCTGTGCTCGGTGGCTGCAACTTCGTCAGGAAACTCTGCAAGCTGGTTCGTCTGCCCGCCATAGATGCCGGGCCTTGACAGCGGGCTGCCTGGCGGGTGAGTTGCACTGCCATGGACTGATCGGAATCCGAACTATCTGGACTTTGCACTCTGGATCTGGCCAAGTCCAGATTCCACAAGTCCTGTTCGGATCCCGTGACTCCATGCCAGCCGTCGGTGAGATCGCCCCTGATCCGCCATCCTCTCCTCTCGTTCAAACTTGTGTTCAGCAAAGAGTGCGGTCTGGCTCTTGCGAAATTCAATGCAGTCGAGCACGATCACACCGTCACAAACCACTCAAATTTATCGGGTCTCGCTAACCCAGCCGCATCTTGCAGGACAGAGTACCGAGCGGGATGTGGGGAATTTTCAAGAAATGGAAATCGCTCCCAAAAGTGGAAGATGTCCGGAAGGCAGGACTGTGCATATGTTCATGATTTTGCACTCCATCCCCTGACTTTGAAAATTTTTTATCCTTCATTAATGCTCTGATTTTACCACGGCGGCTCGATCACATCTCTATTAACCCGTACTTTGTGACTGCTTAAACCGGTGTCACTTCAAACAACCATGTGACTCTGTGAATACATGGTCAGCTTACCCGTGAGCATGGTTCACGCAAATTCCATGAGGTTATTATGGTCAGATTCAACTATAGTATGGTGGGCTTTTGAAAGTTCCACAGTTGATTGAATTCATCGCGTCAAGAGATTGTAACGCACAGAATAGTACACCGAGCAAGGAGATACAACTATAAAATACACTCGCTATAGTATACAAAAAGACGACAGTAGAAAAAGTTCCTTTCAAATGACTAAAACAATAAAATTTCGCATTTCACGATTGTACATTATCAATATTTTATGTTCATAAATGAAAAAGTTCATTTTGACAACCAGATTTTGAAATATTGTCGAACCTGCACATTTACTGTTTCAAACATTATTGACGAAACTTTTCATACCTTTCTAATTCGTGAAGTTCATATTATACGAGGAAAGTATTCGAAAAGAGAAGTCCCAGTCCATTCCAAGTTAGACTGGATTGGGAACTTTACAAGGTGCGGAAAAAGTCCCTGCAGTTGGAAAGTACCCAGAGACGAAATTTGGGAATGATTTGAATCTGAACGTCACCTTGTATTGTTTCCATGGATTAAGGTCAGAGATGTACTTGTTCAAACGGTTATTATAGTTGTTCATCACTAAGCTTTAACAAATGCATGTTAGACCTCCCATAAACTTAACTAAGTATCACACGAGAAATAAAAGCTTGAATCTATTTTATATTCAGTGAAAAGTATATGATATAAATGTGGATACTTATTGAGCCAAGAGATACTCTCAGAAATGTCTTCGAATGCAGAATGGACTATTCAAGAAGTTTTACGTGTACTTAGAGCATAATATAAGTGGCTAACAGATTTCCTGATAAGAATTAATAATCATCTCCTAATTTTCGACGTTATAATAACGGAAAAAATATAATCTGTATTTGATATTTAGAGTATATCGATTTTGCTTACTTTTCATTCTCTTCTAATTATACTGGAAATCGACTCGTATTGATGAATTCAATTTTCTATATCATCGTCTTTAAAATATGCTCAATATGATACATAATCATTGTATACAGCTATCTTTCGAGTCAGAAAAATATCTCGCACTGGATCAATTCAGTTTGCTATATTTAAGTGTTAAAAATATACTCAATATGATTTATAATAATTATATACAACATGGGCTTGAGGCATGATTACTATTTAAGAATTACTCTGTTTCTGCTCTGGCGACACAACATTCTTCTACTTTGAATCACAGAGAAAAGAATGCACGAAGTCCAAACATCAGAAGGCTTTGTGGATGATAACTTCGGGTGAGATCTGTGTGCAATGTGCAAGCACTAACCTTGTAACTACGAGAATTCCATAAAGGAGTGGACTATCTCAAAGGATCTACGTCAAAAGGGCCACGAATGTACGGGAGCCAGCGTCATAGTCTATTGAAATTCAGACTTCAGTCACATAAAGTGTTTATCCTCCGAATTTGGACAACATAACGCATCCTCGACTATCAAGAGCAAAGATAGTGCTAAGCTTGTTTCTGTTTCGGTGCTCAATCTATTGCAGAAGCAGTGGTAATACTAGTTATTATGAGAGCCGATTTTTTGAATTGAATCTTGAAGTATCTATCAGAAGTGTGCAAATTGCAGTTCTTTTGAGTTCAAAAAGAATTTAGCTTGATGACTTATGTTAAGATACAAAATACATATGCACACATACTACAACACTGTATGTATGGGCATCCTTACTTAGATAGGTGCTCACATGCAATTGTGAAAATCAGATTTCTGGTTAGAGCTTTTCAATGATTAATAACCTGAGGCTTAAGAATTCAACTTCTATTATATTTGATATGCAATGGTAGCATTTCTCAAGTTTGAGGCCATGATAAGATATAGATTGCAAATGAACTTGGATGGTTGGTATGGAGATACAAGGAGCAAGAAACAGAAATGCGCACTTCCCTTACATTGGGGAGCTCGTCGTTTAGGCCTTCTTCTTTTTATCTTTGGATGGGTTTTTAATCCGTTCCCACTTTTCCCCCTATAAAATGTGATGGTCCACACTGATGGAGAAACATTGAAATGGGGATCTCATAGAAATGGGTGCCTAATGTACCTCTAACGGTTAGAGTCCAACCTGTAGACACCAAGTCAAACAGTATGTGCAATGTACTTGCACCTTGCCACCGAACCGGTCACATGTTCAAGCTCGGGCAGCTGCTGCCCGTGTCGCTTACCCCGTAACCTCAAACTCCGAGCACTCCAGACGATTATGTGTGGTCCCTCTGTGGATCCAACGGTTCGTCGGAAAATCCTCCAGTCTATTCTGGAATTCAGGCTGTTGGAAGAAAGATTTTAAAGGAACAGACTTCAAGGAAGTACTGTAAGTAAGTGGAAGTAAGTACAGAAGCAAGTCCAGCAAACTGAAAGCAAGTAACTGTCCTTGAAGCCTTGGACTTTAGTTTCAAGAACACTGACCATCACCTTAACGCGACGTGGGTCCATTTCTCTTGCGATAAAGTATTGTACCTCGAAATACAATATTCTTCTCTTGCCATTCAATTAAACATTTAGATTTTGAAGATCGTTGACGAATATGCGAATGAGTTGACGGACTTTAGAAAATTCTTCTGGTTTTGGCCCTCGACATCGGCGACCGGGCTTTCTCTAACTCTTAAGTGGCTTGGAATTCTGTTAAATATATTTGTTTGACAAAAGTCTCTAACCGCTTCCTCCACTGTTCTGAATGAACGAAGTGTCGACGATTTACGTGGCGCATGTCTTCTAACGTTTCTCCCGATGCATGTTCGTGCGTGGCGACTGTAGTCCACGACATGTAGCTCGGTTGATATTCCCCCCGCGTGTGCCAACAACGAGAACTATGAACAACCTTTCCGTTCGTATGCGACGAAACGCTCGACGAGACCAATCATGCTCGGTCATTGACTTGATCTGAATCGCGGCTGGTGTAGTCGTAGGGATGGGCTCGTAGCCGGCTAACTTTCGGCTAGCCGGGTAGGGCCTCAAATTTCGTCTTATCGGCGATCGCCGAAAATGCAATCAACCGAAATATTCGGCCGAAATAAATGCTTATAGATAATTTCGGCCGAATCTGAGACAAATAATCGGCCGAAAACTCAAATTCGGTCCGAGTTTACGGTTCGTTTTCGGCCTCGGATAGCGGTTGCAATATCTATCGGCTAGCCGGGTAACAAAAATTATTAGCCGGCTACGTGCCCATCCCTATGCAGTAGGGTCCTGGTCTCCTTGCCTAGTAAGATGCTAGGGGTCCTTTCTCAAGAAGACGAGTTCAAAAAGGCTCTGCTAAATTCTAAATCATTCTAAATTATTTGACTCTTGGCTGCGTGCAACGGAGTGAAGGCCAATTTTGTCCCGGACCTCAAGGCCTCATTCAGTCTGTAGGCTTTTGCTGATCAGTGCAGCTGTGAGGCTTTCTGGGATCTGTCGATGAGCGCAAGGCTCAATTGCTGACGTCCGATTCTGATCAACACTAACACCCTGATCGTCTTGTTTTCCGTCTCGTCATCACATATACTTGAAACCTTGGGGCTGGGTCAATGGTACTTTGCAGCAGCTGTGTCTGCTCACCATAATCTGCTTCACTCCGGTACGTGGCTGCTGTCTTGTTTGTTTCTTCCTCCATCGAATCCGTTGACTGTCTGACTCAGGAAAGTTCTAAAGTTCTCCTCTGCTCCAGTCTAACCTCCTCCGACGGTGGTGGGTCCGTCGATGCTTCAGAGAGCACTCTTTCGCTTATTTTAGGCTGAGGATGTAATGGTATATTCGGCAGGAGATCGAATCCTTCTCGAGGAGAGTGGACTTTCGAGAAACCTACTCACTAAGCTACGAGAGTCCAGACCTCTGGCTTAATTATGCGGACCTCGAGTGCCCTACCTACTGTTTGCGTTGATCTGTGTGTGGGAGCTTGCTCGATGAGCTTTCCAAAATGAAGAGGGTTCGGACATGAAGAATGGTGTCAGAATCATGGAGTACATGTACTGTGATCGACTCTAAATGCTTCGGATTCGTTTCGTGCTACTACAGTACTGTATACGCTGATGTCTTTGAGAGCTTTCTCGACTCCAAATGAAAACGTCCGCACTTGAACAATGGCGTCAGCCATGAGTAACTGACAGAATAACAGAGCGGCTTCGATCGATCCTACATGCGTCAGATTCGTTTCTTTCGGTACCGTACTGTGACAGATTTCTTCTTCCGAGGCCTCGTGCTTCTGTGCAGCCGTCGGCACTTCTATACACACACACATACACACACGTACATACAGCAATTTCAATACGTAAATGACGCCTTGCACGTGGCTATCTGAGAAAGTGGAAATTCCTTTGGAGATTCCCTCGGTGGGCACCGACAGAGAGACTTTGGGAAGAGTAGAGACGAGCAAACAGAATGATAAAATTGTAGAGTAGGTGAGGATCAGTTCCGAGCCTGACAAGGGTACTTATGAATCAATCATGTCTCCAGTAGTAATCCATTGACAGAGCATTGGGCCCAACACGGTCCGCACAAGAAACTCGATGTCGCGCTCCTATAAGCTCACTGATAAACCTTCCTACGTTTGAGCTGTACTGAACGATAGCATAGTCGGAGATCTTCTGAATTATGTACAGCGTGGCTAAAAAATGCTCCTGCGCAGAATACTTCTTGTCCTCCGGGATTTTATTGTGGCCTCCGATTCGTTCTATCATGTCTTTGTCATCGGTCCAGTCGTACATGATGAATCGCTTTCCGTCCTGTCCATTAGCCGCATCGGGAGACTCCGTAACATTGTTCAAAACTTGAGCTAACGACTCGATGGCCGAGCCCGAGTCCGAGATGAGAAATATCGATTGCCACTTGAATCCAAATCTAGACTCCAGCTTGTTCATTTCCGTGGCATAACTTGATACGTTTCGGTACGTCTTGTACTTTTGGAAGTATGGATCCTCCCACTGCTCGCAAGCAACAACAACCAATGCTCTGCATTAGGCAGATCGACACCACAGAATTCAATCACAGCAGAAGCAATACACATCCGCTCTGACGCAGTACGCTGGACATGTCGATGGATGATTGGGCTTACCGCTTTGTCAGTTTGTCGAACGTGGACCGTGAGGACGGGGGCTTTCCAGAGAGGGATGCCTCCCGCTGAAGCATCAGAATACTTGGCCATGATTGTGTCGGCGATTTCTTTTACGCGGCTGGAAGTTTGTCTCATCATCCAACTGCTGATCATGGAGCTGAAGGCGAACTCCATCTGCGCTTCCCAGATGTGCTCCACGGACTCGTGCGGCATGCCGTGCACCCCGACGGATCCATGCTTGCGGACTTCGTTCCAGAACTGGACCTTGGGTTTTCTGGAACCTGCAGCTATCCTGCCCTTGTCGAATCCAGTGGGCGGCCACATCCAGTTCCTCAAAACGCTCAATCCCCCGGGAGCTGACGTCCTCTCACTGGCGAACTGCGCCCAAGTGTCACCCCTCGACTGCCTGGACCTGCTCCTGTTCTCCAAAGCTCCGTACCTGACCTGGTCCTCGTCTATTCTGCAGCTGGTTAGATTGAAGAAGCATCCCAGGTGCTTGTCCTTGCTCTCTCCACATCCATCGTAGGTCGGATTCTCGTGCAAAGCCGGCACAAAGTAGCCGATGGGTATGACGGTGTACTCGTTTCCTTTCACGAGTCCCATCATCAGAACGGGAGTGAACACATGCACGCATGACAGCAGACCTGTAGAATCATCACGGGCCGATACAAAACTTGTAGGAGTCAGTCTCCAGATTTCAGCAAGTTTTGTACTTCCGTTCAGAGAGCATCAAACGGAGCAGGACCATTCTCGAGCCCCCAGAACGGGCTGGAATTTTTCTTTCAGCAGCTGTAATATTGGAAGAATCGATGAAAACACAACCACCAAATCGCGGTCCACATATCCCCAGTCAATAATTCATAAATCCTGTCGGTGAAGGTGAACGGCCGAAAAGTTTTCATGGCAACTCACTCCCTGACTTACACAGCCCCTCAAGTTCGAAAGTAAAAGGTCGAGCTAGTTGGCGTCAAACCTAGTCAATGGTCTGATTATGATGATGGCACGGGAGCCGAGAACACAGCCTCGAGCTTTGCAATTCGCAAGAACTGGGAGCAGGAATGAGAAGAACGATTCATTCACCTGAGTCCATAGGCTGATATGCGATCCAATGATTCTTGCTGCAGTTGGCGGGAAATTGATGATCCTCCAGCTTAGAGATAAAATACTTTTCCAGGTTCTCATCGAACCAAAGATTTCCAGTTTTGAGCTTGTCGTGCATCTTGTGTCGCCCTCTCCAGTTCAAGTCTGTCCCGTTCAGCCTTTCGTTTTCCCACCAGTCTAAGGAATGTCTCGTCCAGATGCTCCTGTCAATTTTCACATTTTCTTCTTCCCTGCGAACTGCTGTGAAGTCAAATCATCAGTTCCTAAGCAGCCAACACGAGGCTCCACATACACCATGAACAGACACCATCCATTCACTTCATTCAAAACGCCTGAAAGAATCTCATGCTCAACTCAGGCACTTGCTGCTGCTCCTGCCAATTCTAAGAAGTAGAAATTTCCTTAGGTCTGGGTGCTCTTTAAGTCTGGGAGCATGCTTGAGTCCGTCGAATTTCATGAAACAGACTTCAAGAAGAAATTACCAGAAGTAGCAGGCGCCCAATCTAAATCGTCTGGGGTGTTCTCAATCACTCCGGTGTACATTTGGTATTTTGTCAAAATGGGAGAAAAGTCGAAGATGAGAGTGGAAATAACGGTCAAATTTATGACTCCAAAGACTGCCAGGAAAAAATTTCGACAACTGCAGCAGGGCTCCATCGTCGTTGCGGTCTCGATACACGCACACGACTAGCCTACGAGCCACCAACAGGTCCAGGTCCGCCCGTCTGTCTGAAAGTTTGAGACTCTGAGCTCGTCGTCAACCTCGTCTGTGCTGTGCTGTCAGAATCTATCCGGCTTCAGCGTTCAGCGCAATGTCCACTTCTGACCTTGACGGGGTTACGAGTCCCCATTTAAGCTCCTGTCATCTGCCACCAATCATCATGTTTAGATCTGCTGGCTCAGCCCTGATACGTCGGATCTCAGTAACGAGCCAGATATCTGGGTTACCTCTACAGACCTGAATAATCAAACCCTGTCAGAGTCCTTATATGGCTTCAAATTCGGAATAATATATTCCCGAGCTTCTGGCGTGCAACCGAGCAACAGTTCTCGCTCTGTCGCTCCAGCTTCGATTCCAATGAGGCAGACCAGGCCAACTGGTGCTTCCGTGTGTTGGGTTTCACGGCTTATTCCCATGCGGCTAGCCACAATGGTGCCCGGGCCAGACTTCTCGCTGGCCTTCTGGCCCTCTCACATTTGCGTTGCGTGAGGGCGTTGTGGGATGTTTGCTCAAACTGGTCCCATAATTTTCTCTTTCTCTTTCGGAGTGAAAAGGAAGTGACACTGTCAGCTCGAAGGTCAGCAGGGGACGTAAATTCTGCCTCTGGATGGCGTCTGTGGTCCTCACGGCTCCATGTGACGAGCAGACCGTCACCAACAGCATCCACATGCCCGCGGTCTCCCTTTTCAATCCATTATTTTTGGATGCAATCGTCCCAGGCCAAAAATACTCCACAGGACCCAACGTTTTAGTTGCTTGTGCTATTGAAGAAGTCCTGGACTTACTCTCTGTCCAGTTTTGGTAGATTCTGACCCCCGGCCCGCACTTGACGGCTTCCTGCAAAAACTTGTTTCCTCGACACCTACTCCGCTATGTAGCTGCTAGCTGCCCGGAAGCAAGCGGCACCGTCCCGAGATGTGCTGCGGGCTGTAACATGAGAATAGAAGACGAAAACGATCCATGCACTGACTGCACTATTACAACCTCCTCCCAAGGGTCCTTCTCCCCTCGTAGCACCATTAGCTAGAGTGACTCCGAGTTTCTCTGCTCACAATCCTTTTCAGCCGCATCAGCAAATAAGTCCATACAGAATCTCAGAGTCGACTGCACAAGTTTCACTATCTTCGAACATAGTTCAATTGCAGTTGTGTCTTCGTCAGTTGACACAGTCTGCAATGACGGCCCTCCAAGACCATAGAACTTGCCTTGCCAGTATCCAACTATGGGCCTCCCTCTTGCATGCCTTGGAATGCAAGGTTCTGTGCTCCGTAAGCCATAGCTTATGGAGTACAAATTTCTTTCGCCGATTTTCTTTTTCCAGAATATACCCACACTATTAAAATTACCTCTAGATTTTAGGCGGGTTCTGGGTATCTTAACACCAGGGATTGCAAGACACAAGTTCCATGAAAAATGGGTGAATTTTAGGACTTCAGATGCGATCCCAAGATAATAGGATGCAACTGTAATCAGATCTGAAGGTGAGAATCGGCTTAATCTTAATTGACAAACTTTGGATGGAGCTTGTGTTCTAAATCAAATCTGAAAAATTGAAGTCTGAAGAGTCAATAACACTCTAACTCACAAATCAGATCGGATTCACTCCAAGATTGACACTTGCATGGAACTTTTTTTCCCAAAAAAAGTGTGTCTCATCATTACAATGAGCGACAGCAAATAATATGCGATGCTGTCCGGAGTTGTACTAGAGTAATTGCATGTCCAGTCATCATAGACTAATCGGATTCCTATTATCTTTAAAGGGATTCGCTTCAGTTTTGATCGAGTATAGTCACAACACCCCCAGGTCGATGAAACTCGTTCTATCGAACCGCCACAAGTTTGTTCGGCGAGCCATCTCAAAGAATGAGCCCCCATGTATTCGCGGAATCGACTTAAATACGTACAAATATCCTAGCTACTGCAACTTCTTGTTACAATCATTCACTCGTATTCCGAATTTACCCAACCTCCAGGAAATCTCTTGAAATGAAATCTCTCTCTCCTTGGGAAAATGTATGGCACTTCATTACGATCTTTGAATATATTCTAAATTATGCCACTATTGTATAAACCAAGTATACTAAGCAATCAATATATTAGATATAATGATGGTATTTGTTACTAGCTTTTACTAATACCACTAATTATATTTATGTGTATATATAATCTGTACTAATTCATTCATTCATAATAAATTCATGATCAATAATAAGTTGTTAAATAATGAAGTAGAAATGATAAACTTTATTGGACAAAAAAAATTTTTAACACAAGCATTTATAGAATAAGTGGTTTGATATGAAACTTCAATTGGTTACCGAGAAAAAGTATCAGTTTTGGTAATTATGTGTGGGCTGTTAGTGGTTCTAACTTAGTCAATTTAGCCCTAGTTAGAATTTAGATTATATTGTCACAATAAAGTAAAGTTAAGTCAAATCTTTTTCATCAGTGAAGCTTTTCAGTGATCAAGCCCGGACAAACTACGTGTTATAATGTTGGCGTTTTGAGGTTCATTCCTTGTGTGTGTTCGTGGATATTCATTTTTTCTTGTGAAAGTAACTAAATTGATATGAGAACCCTGATGTGGTGCGGCTTGTGATGCCACTCTATCATCCAAAAACTGTTTCACTGAAAACTTTCTCCCCTCTAATCACATGTCATAGCTAGTTCTCACTATATATGGAACCGTATGTATGTTCCGCAGTTTTACATAATAATGATTGTCATCAAAGCAAAATACGGAATATATGGAGTTTAGTAAAAATCTCTTATATTTTCTTCAATAACTTCCAAATTTGACGGCAGTACTCCTTCAAGAAATACTGGTGTTATTTTTAAGCTATAAAGATATTTTTTCCATTTCAGCACAAAAAAGCTACTTTCTATAATTGAAATGTTTGAAAATGGAGAGACTAATATCTAAATAACTCAATGAGCTGAAAAATTATGTGCTTCATGCCTGGAATACTCCAAACTTCATTGAAGTCAGATTGTTGTGTCAGACGGTTTAAGGTATTGCAAAGTTGTAGTTCACGGTGCTTGTGTCCCACTATTTGATCAATGGCGTTTTATTGCCAAGATTCTGCCAAAGTATCTTAATAATTTCTAAATATTTGAACAACATTCCGTGTTTCTAACGTTGTAAGTTTATGAGGTAAGCAAGGAGTCAAAATTTTAGAACTTGCCTAGTTGACCTTTTCACATATGCTTTGAGTTTGTTCAAATTGCATATTGTTCCCAGAAAAATAATGCCAACCGCATTCGAAACTTCAATTTTTGAATGTGAGTCCACATCGTCAGTCAGTCCTATGATTGGATATCAAAGAACCTTAATTTTGAACAAATCTGATAAAGTTGACATGACTGAACAACCATAGCTCAAATGTAATGATTTGGTTTGCTAGGAATGAATTAAGGTTGTCAAGAACACGCTCTATGAATGCAAAAAAATATAAGCCAACCAGCAAAGATTGAAGAACTGATTTTTGCTGATGCAATGTGGTTATTTGTCCTTGCAACCTTTTGACACTTTTGGTTACAAGTACTAAAGTGTCAATTATGACGGTAATCAAATCCATCAAGACAATGTGCAGGTCTCACAACTTTTTTAGAAGCTTCAATTTGATAATAATAAAGAGCCTTGATTTCAGATCATCTTTTATCTAGAATTGTGATACGCGCAACATAGAAGCTAATCAGGCAGTAGACCATTTTGAACAAACGGTTTGCATTTTATCACTCAGAATCTTCTAACGTAGTAGAAAAAAAATCAATGAGGTAAGAATCTTATAATAACTACAACTAGTATTTTTGTAAACTTTTTTCATCACGATATTGATATGATGTAGCAGAGATCATACACTAATGAAATATAATCCTAAGATTTCTTGAATACACGTGACAACTTTAGATAAATGTCTCGTCATCTTAATAGCACCACGATTCAACATCCGATTAGACTGATCTTTCATAACGGACAAACTTCATCAAACAACTTCAAAAACATGTCGAACATGATCAATCTAGGATGTCGACATAAAAAATTCATTATAAGGTGAAGATTTTTAAGAGATGTTTTTAAATAGAATTGAATTTGTACATCAATTCAATACCTTTTGTAGATCACAAGATGCATCAAAAAGCATAGATCATTTGAAGTGCAACATCTATGTGATGTTCTCAATTGTGCATGCAATTCTAACATAAAAAACAACCAAATTTTCATTGCAAAATCTAAGTTTGAAAATGTCACATACCTTTTTTGCTTCATTAAGTACATCAACAACCATCAAAAAAGACATTACTCAAGCAAAATAACGCGTTATCAACTTGAACTGCTTCATTTGACTAATTTGCCTGCAATAATTGTCATATTGAGTCAGTTTAAAAAATGACATTGTATTTGCTCGAGTTTGGATAACCAAACAGTTTTTATGTCACAACATATTTTCAATAATCACGTCAACAATTAAAGCTTTAATGATGAAAGCTCCAATGATAAAATTTGTCATGGCATATTGACTTTCCATATGATGACTAATAGTTCTGGCATGTTTGACAATAACATCAAAATATTTCAACTTTTGCTCTTGTGATAGTTTTTGATATTTCCCCGTCTAATTTTATGTTTGATGCAAAGATATTGAAAGCAATTTCTTTAAATTTCCAAGATGTTTACAATCTTTAAGCGGATACTTCATGTCCAAAACATACACAGATTCAACAACGAACAACAAGACTTTGGAGTATAGGGGATCACAAGATGCAATACAGAGACCGTATCGTAAGAGATGTTTTGATTAAAATGTCATCTTCCGAGCTCCAGCTTTCCATGGACGCTTTGCAGCAAATTTAGTGCAATCCATTGGAGTTCAAGAATGCAACATATGATCAAAATGACTATTGAATTAATTAATATTGAAAATATCATTTTAGATGAAACATCTATTTAAGATAATTAAATAGCCTTGAATTGCATGATGCACTAAAAAGTAATAATTTATCACACTTTAGATTTATTTTTGATTCAAAAAATAAAAAATATATATTTTTTTTAAATACAAAAATCTCATGGCAGCAAAATACAATATATATGAAATCTATGACACAATTTTTGTATTTAAAAAAATTTGATCATTTGTAAAATTGACTTAAAGTTTTGAAAACATTGTGTTTTGGGCAAGCATCACGAAAAAATCTTAAAGCATCACGAAATTCCAAAAATTAATTTAAATATGTAAAAATTCACTTGTGGTAATACTTTATTAAAGCCAAATTGTTAAGTAAGTTATACTATAGTATAACTCGTAGTAGAACATCACAATACTAATTATTATTCAAGTTTTATATGGATTTATTTTCTTACACAAAATTCTGAGGTTTTTACAACTTTAAAAATTTGAAAAGTTCCAAGTTGAAACTCATAGTGGGCACAAGTTGACATATATACTTACAATGAGGAGTATATAAAGAGTAGTTTGGATGTAACTTCAAAAGAAAAGGAATTAGTCGTTCTTTCATCACTAGTTTTTATTTTGCAGCAAAATATTCTTTTTGAGAGATTCAATCAAATTGTATTAGAGAAGATGCGCAAAATGTTGATCTAATTTCGCTTGATGACTAATTATAATTGTTTAAGATTTTTTGATTGTAAGGCTTATATTCTTACATAAAAAATAATACCAAGTTGGATGCTACATCCAAAAGGTGGTATTTCCTTGAATATGCTAATGATGTAAATTATCCTAAAGTTATTGTTATTATTAAAAAAAATCTATGAGTTTGGATCATTGAAAAAAAAATCTTGAATATTTCCGTATTAAGAAGTTT